AAACGATGAAAAAAGTCGATTAAAAGCCTATCTGTGTTTCTTGCCACTCTCTGGCCGACTGGTTCGCATTCTATAATAGCCAGCAAATGGCAAGCAAACCAGGAATAGTGAGGTAATATTAAAAACAAGGCTTTTTATATCAAAAAATAATGGAAGAAATCGCTTTCGATTCATTTTTTCACAAAACAATTATATGAAATAAAAATGTTTAAAATTAAAAAGAAGATAAAAGGAAAATCCATAAGAAAATGGACAGAAGAAAGTTTATTTCATCAATCGTTGTTCATTTCGATCAATGTCGGTGAATGAGAATCAAAATATTTGGTAACAACGATGGCAACTACTTCAAATGAATGAATGGAATATAGGATATGAACAACCATTATAAATAATACATATATATATATATATATATGTATAGAATTACTCAGTGGGTTGTGGGTCAGTTTGGAGCCGATACTGAGGTTCGATTTCTCGCAGGAGTAAACCTGTACAAAATCCGGGGGATGCTGGCGACTCACCTGTATTTCTATCGCCAAAGGACTGGCATATTGCCCAATGCGACAAGAATCTTTAGAAAAATTTATATATATATATATAAATACATATATATAAAATAAAATATATTTATACATAATTTAGTTCAGCGGAAACGTCGACCATCCATCTCAGCATATATATATAGATACATTATATATAGATAGCAATATATCGATTGCTATATTACGTTATATGAAAATTAGTGAAAATGATAAAATATATATTAATATATATTATATATATATATATATATATATACATTACCTCATTATTACTGGTTAAACTCGCTCCACTGGCTTTTCACAATGAGCAATATGCCAGGAAATCTTTTGGCGATAAAAATATAGGTGAATCACCAGCATCACCCGGATTTTTATACAAGTTTATTCCTGTGGGGAATCGAACCTCAGCATCAGCGCTCCCAATCGAGCAACAACATACAACAACGATATATTTATTAAGACTAATGATGATGAACTAAATGGGACTTTTCCATTTAGACAGTAAGTATTGGCGCTTCTAGAAAAATCATCTCTAAGGTAGAATGAATTCGGTTCATAATTCTTGCAAAAAAAGAGCTGCTATTAAAGTTGAAATATGAGTGGTTTACGAATTGTCATCCTTCTGTCTATATATAAATGGCAGGAAATATTTGGCCCTAGGAATCAACTAAGCCAGACCAGGAAAAAATTAGATCATCAGACAATAATTAGAAATTAACACTGGTGATAGAAATGATAGATACCAAGTGATATCATGAATATCATGAAAGAATATGAGAAGCTAGAGGAAAATCAAGAGCTGAAAGAGGAACTACGGAAGATGTGGGAAATGAAGACCAAACTGAGTCTAGTAGGTTCTATGACCCCTGAAGTGAAAAAAAATAATAAAAATAATATTTCTCTGTGTAGAAAAGTGCAGAGCTAGAAACAGCTAATACTGCATAGAATCCTTAAATTGCCAGTTAGAAGACCTGAGGTTAAGGCTGGCTTCGCTTACAAAGGGAGAAAAGAGATATTGGAGCATTTACGTCATATGGAAGAAAAAATTATTAATAAAAAATAATAAAGGAAAAATAAAGAATTTCGATAAGAGCGTATTAATTACTGTGGATTACCACATCATTCAGAATTGCGAATAATAATAAAGTATCTTCGAAAAGATTTTCTTGTCAAATCTGATGTTTATATCATAGCATTATACATCTACCTCTGGTCTGGCTTATTACGTTGATTCCTAGGGCCAAATATTTCCTGCCATTTATATATAGACAGAAGGATGACAATTCGTAAACCACTCATATTTCAACTTTAATAGCAGCTCTTTTTTTTGCAAGAATTATGAACCGAATTCATTCTACCTTAGACAAGATGATTTTTCTAGAAGCGCTCATCATTTCTGGTGAAGCTTGTTTCAGTGGCTTGTTAAAACTGATAAATTTTGTTAGTTACTAAGTTACTAGGCGATAGGAGTACAGGTCAATTGTCATTAATATTAAATTGTCGTCATTACCAGTTTGAAACATACTTTAATTCTGTCCGAGAACAGAATCTCGCATCTTTCCATAGTGAGAGCAACAACCCATTGAGCTATTCTACCCTTTATAATTCAAATCGATCATGGTGGACTTTTGTTTAATTTAATTTAGAATTTGTTTAATTTAGAAACTCGACAACATGAAGAAAAAGAAAAAAATTAGTGTTCGACATATTAAATTCTCTATTAGAAATGATGTGGTGCACTGCGGAGAAAATAATATCTGTTTAGTGTTAAGGCTTATCAGATAACTATTGGCATCGATATGATTAATTGATAATTGAAAATGATTAATATAATTGATATGATTAATATAATTGAAAAATAAAAATAAATCATAAATTTTTTAAATTTTTTTTCATAACTGCGTGACTGTTGATCTAATTTGAATTATTCTGAGAAATCTTCAATACTCTTCCATCATGTAGCTGAAATCTAATTATATCTTTCTTTTTGCGTCATTTCTCATATCAAAAAATTTTTATGTCTTCTTTCATCGACGTAAAAATCTTATTATTTTCTCCATAATATCACATCATTTGTCTTTTTTAAATACTATCATCAATCAAAATCATGGCTAAGTTTATTCAACTGACTCAACTCTATAGACTAGTGCATAAATTTCCTCAAATCTTTCTTCGTTGCGAAAATTTTCGATATCCAATTCTTTCATTCCATAAATATTGAACATTGTAATTCGTTGCCGATCACTTTCAATTTGTATTTGAAGGTCGATTCACTAACTTGTCAAATTAGGCAAATTACGAGAAAAACACTTGGCGATAGAAACGCAGGTGAGTCGCAAACATCACCGGGATTTTTGAAAGATAGGTTCACTCATATGAGGATTAGAAGCTAAATACAGGCCCTTGAAAAGAGAACAAACCACTGAGCCATTCCATCTATTTGAAAATGATGTGGAATGTTTTATTCTCTTCAGTATGAGATAATCTTCGGTAAGTGTTATTAAAAAGACATATCTAATTTTATTTTAGGCTTGCATTTCATAAAGCGAGTTCCTTCTATTGTGATTTTTCGAAAGTTTTTCTTGAAATCTCAAAATCTGTTCTGGCTTTATCAGATCTTGAAAATCTCAACATAATCAGACTGCTCCTATAGTTGAATACCCTTTGCATCTTAAAAAATCCTGAAGAGTCGAATTTATCCTTTTTACTTCTTTTATTAGCGATAATGGGTGAAAATATTGCTACAAGAAATGTTTTATTTTCGGCACATATTTCATGATGAATTGAGCAGGAGTAGATCTGAAATGAAACACTCAAAAAAGGCGCATTGTGGTTTGAAAAACACGTAAAATAGGCGCCTTGTGGTTTATGCGTTATGGAGGTTTTTATTGGCTATATCGTCACTGCTGCTCCTATAAATTAGAACTGTGAATTGTCAAAAAATATGATAGGAATTTAGTCAGAAAATTTTATTGCGGCAATTTTATCGAAAAGTGAATTAAATTATAAATCTACTGAGGGACTAAGATATATTTTTTTATTTTAGTACAAGCGTATAAAATTTTCGCCGGATTCTGGATTCATCTTCTTCTTTTAACATCCCAAACTATTCAAGCTGGCTTTGCTAGTTGTATTAGTGAATCCCCTTACCCCTTGATCTGGTGCTATGTTTGAAAATAATAGCAAGCTTTCTCTTCGTTCTCTCATCGTTTAACCCAGAGATCACTATATCAACTATGCTTCAAAATCGAAGTCTACTCTGATTTTATTAGATCTTGATTGAATTTCTCGCTTTTTACAGAAAACAGATTAATAGCTTATTAATAGCTTAGACGGCATTCTAGGATGATATTATTGGTACGAAAGGTATTCGAGAAAAGAAGGTATGCGTTATAAATTGCAATTTGATGACTTTGAAGTGGTAAATTTTTGACTTACCCACTAGAAAAATTAAGTAAGGAATTTACGGAAATTTATAAAACTTGTAAAATATTTTTCCTTAAAGTCTTTTTAAAATCAACAGGCCAGCTTAAAAGTTAGGTGGACAAATACTATTTTTTTAAATATATATTTGTATATATCAGTAACAAAGGCTTTTACCCTATTTTTCGGAATAAATACTTATTTTCATATTTTTTAAAAATGGAATTTTAATAGGTTTTAATAAATAAATTCGGTAGTTGACAAATTCGATAATTGATAAACAAAACAGAAAATTATCAAAATCTTAGAAAATGATACAGCGAAATAACGCTCACATTTATTGATATTATTGCTTGGATAATATTGTTTGCAATATTGAAATTTAGAACACTTATATACTTGATAGTTGATTATTAGATAGTCATTATCATTTGATTCGGTGGCCTTGTCTTGCATCAGTCATGAACCGTAATTTCATAATGCAATTGGAATGGGAAAACTGGGCAGTCGTTAAACCAAATAGTAAGAAAGAAGGATAGAGAATAAATTTGTGGGAATTTTTAAAATAGTTTAGGCCAAAAAAATCTTATCTCAAAAAATCTCACTTTAAGTTCATTGCACATAATTTTTATTTTATTTCAAAAGATCATCATCTACCAATATTCTCTATTACTGTTTTGGTTAGCTCTACTGACTTAGTGCATTGAACTCACAATTCGCAGAATAGCCGAGCTTAATTGTAACAGAAATAAACCTACCATCAGAAAAAACTGGCAATCTACCTACATTTATGCATGTTGCCTCTCGAATAAAGTAACCAAGCCAATCAGAAATAATGAGCGCTAAAAGCGAAATTTCAAGAAGCATTATAAATGAAGAATTGATGAAGATTTAATGTTTTTTGTTTGTTGATGGCTCGAACTGCTCCAACTTGCTCGAGCCACTAGCTCGAAAAAAGATAAAAGCAAAACAAATATTCCATTAAGTGATTAATGTAGGATAATGTTATTTGTGAACAATATGTGTCGATCGAATTCACTGCGTGCGCCTACTCAAGAAATAACCATCTTCGAGACGTGGAAGTGAGCAATGATCACAAGAACCAACCCTTCCCTGAAATTAACCTGCATATAAACCTTTTGCAGTGTAAATGTCATCCATATAGAAATGACAATGAGAGTCATATTTTTTAATTACGATTTTACGATTATAAAATGAACCTGTGTGCCTTTTTCTCCACGAGAACCATTTAAGCCTCGATTACCTGGCCGTCCTGGCAGTCCTGCAGTGCCCTGAAATTTCACTTCGATAATCATTCCGATTTCTGCTCAAAGAAATCCACTAAAAAATTGCCATCAAAATATGCACCTGTTGCCCTCTTGGACCTGGTGGACCTTCTGTGCCATCTACACCAGGTTCTCCGTCAAATCCAGGTAGGCCTTGAGGTCCTGGTCTTCCTGGTCGTCCTTTACCACCTGGCATCTCATGACGTTGACCTGGCAAACCTGGTGCGCCTTTTTCGCCGCGTGGACCCCTTGGACCTGGGGTTCCGCGTGGCCCTTCTGCTCCAGTTTGACCTTGAATGAAATTGAAATTGCATTAAAATTATAAAGAAAGATCACAATCACATTTAAATTGTAATTTATGCTGTTAATACTGTTAATAAATTTTTTTATTCACCTATTTCTCCAGGTCTACCATCCAATCCCTGCTGTCCTGGCGGTCCGCGGGGTCCTTTCGGCCCACGAGTTCCTGGAGAGCCTTGTGGTGCCACGGGACAATCGAAACACCACTCTTGTTCCTTGTAATCAACATCGTCTCTGGCATCGGGTCCAGGTAAGCCATCTCTTCCAGGCGAACCATCAAGTCCTGTGCATTAAAAATATTTTATTTTTAATAGTTTTATTAATATTTTTAATTTTTAATTTTTAATATTTTACTTTTAATACCATAATCATTTATGCATTGAGGGTTTTTTTAATAAAGTACAGAATTTGTCAAAAGGTTTTGTTGTTAATCCTGAAGTTAAGATAATATTGCTGATAAAAAATGATATGCGAAAAGTGATGGCAAAGTAATGCTTTGAAGAATATATGGACATATATTTGTAATGATAAAGCCAAAAATTTGTAGTAGCGAATTACCATTTTCTCCAGGAGTGCCCGGAAAACCTGGTGGGCCTGCATCGCCTATCCCACAGCTGCAACATCCTTGGCCCGTTGACGGCATCCTCGCTGGCGATACCTGAATAAGTGGTAATCCTCCATAGCCAATACCCTTTGGCTGATAAGCAGGTGAATTGACCCTGTGGCGATATTTTTGTCCGTATCTAGCTCCGCTTGTCATTGCATCAATATAATGGGTTTGTCGCCTTCTTCTTTGGGTTGAAGGAATTCCAAGAATCTAAATAAACCGACTGATTTCAAGTTTTATTGAGCAAAATTTACCATCATAGTTTGCATTAAATTATGATTTGGAATAAATAAAAATATGATAACACACATTTTAAATAAAAATTAATAAAAATAAAATATGATAACACACATTTTTTGTATGTCCAAATTCATCCCACATATTTGTGGATCGGCGTTTGCAAAATTCGACTTCATTAAGTAAGGCAGTATGGATCCTTTGGACATAATTGTATAATAATGGTGCGACAATAATGCATATTAAAGTAACAGACGTACTGAAATTATTTCAACTAGTGGAAAGTGTTTAATTAGTTATTAAAACTTATTATTAATTATTTACTTATTAATTTTTTTTTTTTGAACCAAATTTTCTCTTGTAACTGAATTTTTTTTTTCGCATCAAATCCGAACTTAAACCTGCATCCTCCTCCAAAGCTTAGGAGGTGGTTATCTCTTCAGAGAAAAGGAATAAAAAAATCTGTTTAGTTCTATTAAAAGTAGAACAATTCTACTTTTGGTATCAGGAAACTACCTAAATTTCTATCACCAAAAAAATCTTTAAATCATCTAAATGGCTTAATGAACAAAACCAACCACATCATAAGCTTACTATTAGCGGAAAATTATACAAGGAAGAGCTGATTTATGCCAATTTTTGATTTCGAAAATCAAAATTTTACAATTTTATGAAAGATCGCTCAGAAATAATGGGCTATACTCCTCGTCATCTATCACAGAAATTTACATATCTCTCTGCACAATCAAAGTTTGCGGTGGATCGCATGAAAAACTAGAGGCCTAATTAAAATCTGGATAAAACCAAAAGAGAATTCGAACGTATAGGCGGTGAATGGATTTAGGTGATAGGAAAAGGACTGGTTTAAATTAATTAATTTTAGGCATAGTGTCAGATCAAGGCTTGGAAAAATCTTATTCAGCACCAATGGAACCAGCCAAACTCTTAATGAATGTTGTGAACTGTTAAAAAAAGATTATTGCTCTAGAATACCTTATGGCTATTCCAAGGAAAATAATTTTTCGTAATTGTTCGGCTTTTCGTTGTTTAACCGATTTATCGTCCATTTTCCTGCGAGAATCAGTTCCAACAATTCTTCTGATATACGAAATGTATGAATTTCATAACGAATAATTCTAATACAAAAATCTATTTCAAAAATGTTTTCTGGATAAAAAAAGGTAAAAAAATTCGAAACATAATTGCAATTCAACATAATCCATCTCTTTCGAATTCTTTACGAAATCTAGCCATAGAAATTTTTATGGCAAAAAATATAGAGAAAAAATCCATAAAACGAAAAATCAACCTAATATAAAATCAAGCTAAGCCAGCCTAATATAATCTCGCTAAATTAACCCGTCAATTTACTCATTCAGTGAATGATAATCGGATCAGAGATCAGGATCGGATTAGTAGAGCTCAGGGGTGCATTGGCTAGCGAAACTGAATTTGAATAAATAAATTTTCTTCTTTTCGCGATTATGTACATAAATCCGTTATCATCTGAAAAAAAAAGAAAATTTCCTTTGTTTTCACAAAAAAATTTCAACAACTTGTTTCTAAAAATATTTTTCCTGTTTTCGTCGGCCAATTGATGATATTTAATATTTTTCTAAAGGAAGCTACAAATCTAATCTTTAAAAAAAACCCCTTAAAGAAATTTATAAAAAAGAAAACCAACCAATAGAAAATATAAATCATTTGGCTAATAATTTGATTTTTAAATAAATGAGTTCATTTTATAAAAAATCTAAAAATAAGTTGAATCAGGTTTTTTTAAAATTTTTTAAAAATTTTTTCGAAGAATTATGCTTAAATATTCATATTGTTATTTCGCAATTCACGGTATAAATTTTTAATTTTATAAAATTGCGCCCCTTAAGAAATTGGACATTTTTGGTTGATACCAGTATAAAATAGCCACAGTAATAGTTTCAATTAAATCTGTTTCGCATGGTCTTTGCAGTCCTTGTCATTGCAGCCTTTGCACTCTTGCAAATCCTGAATGATTTTGTTAATTATCAGCAGAGTTAAAATTCTAGTTTAAATCCTAGTTTAAAGCAAAATTTTTTTTTAAGTTTTGAATCTCTAAACAGTTCGCCCAGTTATATCACAGAAATTAAACTAGACATAGTTTGTTCCTCTAGTGTAGCAATCGTACAGCCTTGAACATCTAAGGGGTGTTACTTTCTTTTATTTCATCTTCATAATAATTCATATTATTTGATATACTGTTACTTCCACTCATTCATGCATATTAAGCATAAAATAGGATTTTATCAATATAAATTCTCAAAATCACTGAAAATGATTAAATTTTGCACAAATGGGCAGTGGTTGGCAATGGCTCACTATGAATAAGAATTTGATAAGATAAGAATTTGAGAATTTATCACATAATGAAAATATAAATTCTTATGCGTTGAAGATCTGATAAAATAGATCTGATATATATATATATATATAAATTAGATAATATAAATTTAGAAAACCGATTATAAAAAAAGTTATAAAAGATTGCGATTCACATTAAATCTTATCTTGTACAAATTCATTTATTATTTATCCGAACTGAATTATAATAACAACTGCACAGAAACTAAATTTGTTGAAATTAGAAGTAATGCGTAGAAAACTATTTTTAGCCTCCAAATGTTTTTCTCCGTATCTTATACTCACAGAGTTCATCATTTCTGCTAGCTGGCTCACTTCCTTTTGCTGGAAAATTTGAGAAGTACAGGCTATTCCTGGCGCCATCAGCGCCTATTTTATTATGCCTATTATGTTGCAATTATTTTAGACGTTCAATTTAATGCCAGAATTTCCTTCAAGAAATAATTTAATCGATGGACATTTGGTAGTGATAGTGGTTATTCATTTCTTCGCCATTTGAGCTATTTAATCGGCGAATTAATTTGTTGAGGTTGAAATTTAAGAAAAAATTATGCAAAAAAACTAAGAAATTGAAAAAATGTACTTTTGTGAATTCGTTTTTTTAAAATGTACTTTTGTGAATTCGTTAATTGATTTGGACAGTGCAGTGGAGTCGAGTGAGACGAATCTTTCCAACAAATTTAAGTATTCGAGTTTTTTCCCCATTTTTTGACCAGTTTTTCAAAAAAAACATTAAAAAAGTCTGATTATTACAAATTTCCAAACAAAAAAGATGGACGTGAAAAAATTCGGAAAAACATTTGCTGCGTAAGAGAGGAAATCGTAAACCAGAAAAAAAGATTAAATAAATACAGGAACAACAATTTCATTATTACGATAATTATATTGTTTAAATGAATGATTTTATAATTTGCTATAAAATATATAATAAAATCGTCATCTACCAACCAATATTGGCATTTTGGTCTAAATTTGGTAATGATTAAAATATAGCTTGAATAATAAGTTTTTGCACTCCAAATACTTATTCTAATGGTACTTGAGAAGGAAATACATATTTCTGAATGATATCTCTATTGGAAAGACCTTATCATAATGGTTAGTGCTGTCAAACCATACGTGCGTTATTAAAAAAAGAATATTAATTTTATTAATTTTGTCATTTATCATTATCATCAATCATTGCATAATTTTATTTAATTTTATAATTCATTTTACTAATTTTATGGCAAACAAGAAAATCTGATCGAATTTAATCAAATTGTGGATCATTTTTATCTGACATATTTCTTAATATTCTTGAATATTATAGGCATCCGATTTGTACTAATAATTTCCAAAAGGTTCAAAAAAGAGATCTTAATAGATGCTTCTTTTTTGCTTTAGTAACTTTTCATTACTAATTTACCAATTTTCTTAACTATGGTGGCGTATTAATATTCTTTCCATCATTTAGTCAATATTTGTTGAACTGAACAGCCTATTCCAGTTAATAAGGAAGCAGTATTTGGTATACTGTAAAAATAAAGTCACAATCGGGTGCTTCGAGCCTTTTGTTGTTGTTTTTCTTACTCTGGCAATATTTCTGGTTCAACATCACTGTCAACTTTTCATACAAAATCATTTTATGATAGAAGTACGCTTGAATTGTTGGGTTCATTCAAACTCATTATGTTAATTTGGGTTAGGTTCTTCATCATTATATTTTGGCCATTTTCTTTATTAGCTTTTGGTATTACTTCTTGAATTATCTTGCCAGTCTTTAAATTAAATAATTCTAAATTGTAAAGTAATTATCAGCAAGCTATAAAGTAAAAGTAAAAATATAAAGTAAAAAGGAAATGATAAAAAGTGCGAAAATATTTTTTTAAGGTAGAAACGTGAATCTTCTTTCTCGTCAAATGATGCATAATTGATAAGACCAAAATTATAAAGCAAATGAATGAAACGGTGTTTTATTTAATTTTTTTTGTTAAAATTAGAATCAGCTGATAAATGATTTGAAGGATGACCGAAATGATTGCTTATTAAAATCTGTCAAAAGATATATTTTCAACAATTTATTTGAAATTTTATTCGATAATTTGAAACATCCTTGTAAAACAAATATATATTTTTAGAAAACAAAGTTTGCATCATATTCTGGTTTATGACTCCGTCGAAAAAAGTCTGCTTAATGTTTTTTTATCCGACCCATATGTTTCGTAAAAGCGAGTTTAATTCTTTCTCGCTAACCCACTTTTTCATCATTTCGGATATATGATAGTCCAATTGTGTTGGCAGAATATTATCAGAGTGATATGCTTCAGGGAAATTGATTCGAGCACTCTGAAAACGAAACTTATTTTATTCATGTCGCTAGAATGGCACAAATTAAGCTTTAAAATAAATAATTTTAAAAAAAGTAGAGAAAATAATTCTAATTTAATTTAAAATGGTGATAAATATAACGACTAACTTCTATGCTCGGCCGAAAAAAAGCAAATAACACAAACGTAAATGTCAAGAAGCATAAATGGCTACTTATTTTCATTTCCTGAAATTATTTTTTAAATATTTATTTTTGAGAGTGACAAAATATTTTGGTAAAATACGTGTTTCAGGCAAGCGAAGCGGTTCTTTCGATATTTTAATTAATCTTATAGATTAATATTCTATTTCTAAGGCTTTAAAAAAAACAAGCCTTTATGAAGTGAGGAAAAGTGAGTGAGCAAAGAAAAAGAATAAAATCAAGCAGAATGAAGTCAGGTTGCAGATTAATTATTATTTCTACTAAAACCAATCATAGATTTGATTCCTGTTTCTCACTAGCAATAAATCTGCCATTAAAAATGCAATCCAAATGGTAATTTTCTTCCTAAGTGATAATAGCACTCACCCTAATAATTACACCCTAATAATAGGTAATCAAACCGAAAACGGTGTTTTTATAAAGTTGTATTTTATAAGCACTTGGATAACTAGGGTATATTTTTTGCATCAGTGAAATTCATACTTTTTTAACTTATTTAGAAATATAAATAAAATAAATTATTTATTATTATTTCAACACGAAAAATTATTTGGCAACATGATGAAATTTTCAAAATTTTTCGGTTTTCAATAATTTCGTTTAGATATTATTTTATATAAAAACATAAGTTGCTTAAATTTGGACGGTGGAAAACGAAGTAGCTTCTACTTGTAGATCAGATTGAGCAGAAAAGTTTCAGTCTTGTAGCGCGACCAGTCAAATTAGTAATTTTTTTAATGGCGTGAATAGAAGAAAAAGAAATAAGCCAACGGGAAAATCTTTTTGTTCACATGAATTAAAAACAAATTTTATAGGCAAATTTTTTATTAACTTGGCCGAAGACAAAGTCTATAAGTGAATAGCGTTCACCCAAAATGAATGAATAAGAAATAATGGCGATGGCAAGAAATTTTTTCTTGAAATGTGTAGTTGCAGTTCAAAGAAATCAATTATATCTAACTTGAGAAATATTGTTGATATCATACAAAATCATAAAACTCTGATGACAATAATTGGCGAAGCAGGAATTATCACTGCAATATCTTTTCAATATTCATTTTTTTTAAAAAACATTATAATTAGTAACATACTTTTTGAGCGAAGAAATAGAGGGCTGAGGGAGTTGTTTTCTCGTTCACAGGAATCGACGTTGGCGCC